AGGTCACGGGAAAACGTAGTCGCGTCGCTTATACCTGCGCAATCAATGGTACGTGCTCACGTTATGACCGCAGGCGTTACAACCGGTAGTTCAGCTTCCAAAATGGCGACCGTAGCATACGGAGAGCTTGCGCAGATTAACGAGATGTTTAACCTCGAGGCGCATCCGGACAAAAGCGACGGGGCTGTGGTAAACGCTACCTTTCTTACGAAGTTCAATTGCCACCTTGGTGAAAAAATTACCGTGGGCGATCGCTCGTACGTGATTTCTGCAAAGGCCGAACGAGCCGATGCGCTTCTTGGCGCAGAAAAAACGCCGCTCGTTATGATACCTATTACCAACTTTGAAGAGCACCGGGACGCGTCTTACCGGATCGTTCTCTTCGCATCCCTTGAGCATCGCGAAAAAGATATAGAGGGGACCATGGCGCGGCTTAACGCGCAGAACATTTCGTGTGCAAGTCAATTTTCAGGCTATGCGTCGACCATCAAGGAGTATCAGAATTTTTCCGAGGTTATAACCGTGCTCATTGCAGTTATTGCGGGAGTGTTTTTGGCGGTTTTCGCGAGCCTGATTTCATCACACCTGAAAAGTGAATGGTATTACCTGAGAATGCTGAGGGTTTATGGTTTATCCCGGACGGGGCTATTTGCCCTTGTCATTTTGGAGCAGGTTCTGGCGGCCGTAGCGGGAAGTATCGTGGGCTCTGGCATAGGGTCGGCAATTGCTGGGGTGATTTGTGGGGCGACTGGTACACCGATTTCGTCGTGGTTTGTTACAGCCAATCAGTTCATAGCAATGGTTCTCCTTTCGGTGGCGCTCGTTGTCGGTGCGGTCTGCCTCTGTTTTCGAATTATATGTTTGAAAGAGCCTCTTGGCGTCGTAAAGAGAAAAGCTTCGCGGTTGTATACGGCGCGCGTGCGGGCTTTAAAAATCCTTGCGTGTATAGCAGGAGTAGCGGCAGCAGCGTACTCGTTTATGGTGACACAGCATGACGCACGTAACGGCAGTCTTTTTATCGTTCTGTTTTTTGCCGGAATGGTCGTGGTGTTTTTCGCCTCAGAACTCCTCATTGACCTGGTAAGTTCTTTCTATGAGAAAAAGGGTGCGGGCATACATAAGGTAGCAGGCCGCATGCTTCGGGCGGCACGAAGCAGGACGGTGCACCTTGCCGCTACGCTCGCGCTCGTTCTTGCTCTGATCGGTTCTGTGGTCAATCTTGGCTATTCATGCCAGCTGTGGGCAGGGGTTTTAGCAGATCAGCAGCTCAATCTCGACGCGAGAATCGTTGCGACCAACGACGTCATGGGAAACGATTTCATCAGCGGCGTGGTAAAAAGGGATGATGTTGAATCAAAGGGCACGTATTATATGGCGCGTGGTAAGTTTGGGCAGATGTCAGCGTATGTCATGACCGAGGCCGACGATTTTTCTGGCTCTTTAAACAAGCTCTACGATTCTAAAACGCGGTTCGCATCGCTTTCGACTCATGAGGTGGTAGCTTCAAGTTTCTTGTTGTCTGTTTTTGGCATAAAAGTCGGAGACGAAGTTACGATCAGTCTTGCCGGTCAATCAAAATCCGTACGGGTGGTTGGCGTGATTACGACGCTTGACTATTTTGGAAGGATGGTGATTGTGGCGCCCGAATTGTTTGAAAAACAGAGCTACAAGAATATTTGTTTGAACGTAAAGAGCCGAGAAAACCTTGATCTCAACACGCTCACATCACCAGCATTGGTTGAGAAACTCAGCAGAGAAATGCTTCGTGCCCAGTGGAAGAGTCAAATTGTGTCTGGTACTGAATATATTCTTGCTCTGGCGGTAACCACCGTATGCATATTGGTACTGATGATAGCGGGCGCCGTTCGGTCCG